TCATGTAGTCAACTCATTCACATCAGTTTTAATGAATTTGTTATATCACTGTACCTTGAAATGATTCATAATAAAAAGACATTTAAGTATAACACTTAGTTTACATGTTCCAAATTATTCTTAAGTATAAAACTTGATTTATATGGTTGCATTATAAGGCTACTCCATGCCTATGTGTGTCAGCCCCAAAGCTATACTATAGGCTATCCTACGCTGTAGCTAACATGGGGACCAATAAAACGTGATTGGCTGCTTGTGTTTTCTTCTACAAATTTCTGATAGTGGTGGAGATTAATGAGAAAACAATATAAAAGAGAGACTTATTTTCTTCTTGACAGTAATACACATCTACAGACAAAAACACATGTACATGCTCTAACAGAAGTTGATCTGCAATAAAGCTATACCACTATATCCCCATATAGACAATAGCTTCTAAGATCAAACTTTTAAGACCTACCTCTTACCTTTTTGAGTTTGTGTGTGTGTGTGTGTGTGTGTGTGTGTGTGTGTGTGTGTGTGTGTGTGTGTGTGTGTGTGTGTGTGTGTGTGTGTGTGTGTGTGTGTGTGTGTCTGTATNTAAGTATAAAACTTGATTTATATGGTTGCATTATAAGGCTACTCCATGCCTATGTGTGTCAGCCCCAAAGCTATACTATAGGCTATCCTACGCTGTAGCTAACATGGGGACCAATAAAACGTGATTGGCTGCTTGTGTTTTCTTCTACAAATTTCTGATAGTGGTGGAGATTAATGAGAAAACAATATAAAAGAGAGACTTATTTTCTTCTTGACAGTAATACACATCTACAGACAAAAACACATGTACATGCTCTAACAGAAGTTGATCTGCAATAAAGCTATACCACTATATCCCCATATAGACAATAGCTTCTAAGATCAAACTTTTAAGACCTACCTCTTACCTTTTTGAGTTTGTGTGTGTGTGTGTGTGTGTGTGTGTGTGTGTATCTGTATCTGTGTGTCTGTGTGTCAATGTGTGTCTGTGTGTATTGTTGTATTGTGTGGCAGTAGAGCTGTCTACCGCAGAGCCTCCAAAAAGCTTGTGTTACCAAGTTGAGACACTTATACAGTTAATATCCATATGATGTTGATGGAGTTCGTGTGTCTTCTAACCTTGAAACAGCCCTTTGTTGTGTCAGGACTGGCCAAAATGACCTCACAATAATGGTTTTTAACCAAAATTGTCCTTACACTTATAGAAAGACATGTACCCACACACAAAGAATCACACATCAACATGCACATACAAGTACACGCAAATACACCGTGTTGATTTATCTTAGAGTTGCTCTCATACCTGAGTTGAAGGCTAAGAATGAATGAGTTTTAATTAGCCAATCAGAATCAGCTTTGCCCATTTCTGCCCAGTAACACCTGTTCCTGAATTGGTATTGCAGTCATTGGGGGTGGTGGAGAGTACTCCCATCACTTCCTCAAAAACTTGAATGAGACCAAAACTGGGTGATACAGGACAAAAAAAAATCTTTACATTTTTTAAATAAAATTGTCAATGAAGGTTGGAAATTGTGGGATTTAAAAGAGCTTGTCTGACTTTTTTGAGGAAAACTTTCAGAGATGGTAGTTAGAGTGTGCAGTTAGCTCCGGTTAGCAAGTGGAGCTATGCCTAAAGACAGCAGACATCGCTGAAGATGTAGTAAATATCACAATCCTCTGCACTGAAGTTACAACCCCATCACACAGAGCGAGCGAGAGAGAGGGAGAGAGAGAGAAGCTAGTGCTAATTGTTAAGCTAAAATAACTAGCAGCTCTGAACAGCATGTAAACAACTGCTGGGTTAGTGAAAGTTGCTAAAAGGAGTGGAGAGGTCTGAGTGCTGGAGTAGAACTAGCGTAAGTTTAAATGTACAGCAGGTAGTTAGACACTGTGATGAAGAAAACAGCAACTTTAACTGTGTTGAGACAGAGCAGCAATAAACTCAACCAGTAACAGAAACCGACTGGAGATGGGACACCACACTGACGTCAGCACATCAGCACATGAACAGCGTCACTACTATTAGTGAAAAGACATCAGTAGAAGAAAATCACTGTGTAAAAACAAAGTAAGTCAGTTAAAAAGTTTCTGAGTAAACGTGTTACTGCGTTGCATTTGAAAATGGGGAAGGAGGGGGTAAAACATTATTTATTTATATTAAAACTATAAAATTAAAGAACATCTTTAGGTTACCAGATATATCAGTTTCCAGGTGACAACAGCAATGAAATCAACCAGTTAATTGCAGTTAGGCACTTTGGAGCCTGAGCATACACCTGTGTCTAGCTGGAAGACACAGAGCTGGGTTTGATTTGTGTTTGGTGAGCCTCTCAAATGACTGCTTTTTGTGAAAAAATGGTAACTCCTATCAGAACCATGAGCAGACCATGACAGGTACAAGACCTTTGTGCACTGCATATGTGGCTTTACTGTTTCTAGAGCCAGAAAATGTGGATAAAGGAGCGAGAAACAAAATAATGTCACTTCTGCATTTCTTGGAAAATCTGCTCCTGAATTTGTATTGCAGTTGATGGGAAAGGTGGCTGGTACTCTCATCTCGTTGAGGCTCATGTTCAAATTCTGTAAGTCTCTGTGCTGATGTAGACACATTGTATGAAACTGGACAAATTTGTCCACTAATGAGGAAGCAGTGATGTGTGAATATTGAAATATGTGGCCGTGAGGACGAGTTTAACAGAATTTTTTCAGAGGAGTTCTAGAGCTTCTCCCTTTCTAGCGATGATGTCATCCACCCTAGCATTCCGCGCAACACACACCCATTATAAAGTCTGATATGGTCTAAAAATGATACGAAACATAAACTGCGGTTTTGTGTAAATACCGATTCAACCCAAAAGAATCCAAGTCTGAGCTGTTGACGTTTCAACCATTTCTCTACGTTGAAGTATGACGCAGCAGTAGAGTTCAAGTTGGTAGTTTTGAAGACATGTCCCTATTCATTCTCTATGGGAATTTTTTCGCTACATTGATATATATTGTCGAGGTTTTCCCAAAGCTGTGGGACTAGTTATGTCCTGAAATCTCGATACGGAAGAGGAATAAGATGAATAAGTACAGTGTTTCCTCTACATTTATTTAGCAGTGGCGGGCTGCGGGCCACCACGCCTTCAAATTTCTTTTTTTTTTTCCTTTTTTTTTTTATAGTCGCAAAATGCACCACCGCCACATCTCTCCACCCTCACAGCACAGCCTGTGTGATGATGAGCGCAACAGCGGGGGGAGGGGAGGAGAGGAGAGGGGAGGGAGAGAGGGAGTGGGGTGGTTGGGGGATCCCCGAGAGCGCGGCCTTGAAAGTGACATCACGTCAGGCACCAGGTCAGAGTCAGAGAAGTGTAGTCGTGAGGAATAAGGCAGCAAATTACCGGAGAAAAGGTAGACTTATTAGCCAACTCAGTGACGCTAACTTGGGTTAACTAATTGATAGCATTAAGCTAATATCTACACGTCATTATGTATTAACTGCTGACTGCATTTTCAGATGAGCTTGTTCAGATACTTCTCTAAGAAGAGAAAGACAACAGATGAAGAAGACGCTAGTCAGGTAGCCTATCATAAGCCTTTTACTGACTCGTAAATGATGATGGTTAGGTAAAAAATTGTATTTTAATGTTCACACTTTTAATCAGATGTGATGTGAGTGTAAACTATATAACACTGAAAATTAAGTGCTCTGAGCCTGGGTGCAAACTTTGCCACTGACTCTACAGCCCCATCTAGCTGATCTTTATATGTTTATTTATTATTTTAATTTATTTAATGTTATTGTTTTATTTATTTTTTACTTTTTACATTTTTCAATCTGGTTAGAGTTGAAGTAACATTTATCTTTCACAAACCAAAGGTATTTATTTTTCTTGATATTGATTATAGTGGGCTGAGATATATATTTGTAAAAGTTCAATGGTAGCGATAAAAGCCATTTTCAACTGGCCAGCCAATAAATAGGTTTTGAAAGTAAAATCTGCTGTCAAACTGCTCATTTGGTCATTTGTGTATGCCTGCCCCCACCGACCCGCCACCCCCCCCCCCCCCCCCCCCCCCACCACCACCACCACCACCGAGGCATGCCCCCCACTGCTGAAAAAAATCCTAGAGGAAACACTGAAGTATGCAGAATAATAATATATGCCTTCAATACTATTGCATTGCAGGCACATAATCATAAGAAATTTTTTGCAAGTAGACTGGTTTATGTTTATTGGACTGAAAAGGCTTTTCAAAAGTGCAGAGCTGAGCAGGGCAGCACAGATCAGTACATATCAGTTAGTCTGTATTTATACATTAAAATCTGAGAAGCTGACCTTTGTTACATGTTCTTTATTTTAAAAAATAGAATTACTTATATATGTATATTACAATTAATGCTACTTTGTATCTGCAGTTAGGACCTTTTTCCTCTGCCAGGAGCTTTGCTTGTCAGTATTTCTATTTGCATCTAGTCTTTCCACCCTTGCCATGAAATTGGTTGTTGCACATCTTTCATTCATTTGTTTGTTTTTGATTCCAAACTGTGGTGCACTACTTCAGCCACATCTGCCTTGGCTTCCTCCTCATCGGAACAGAACTATGGCTTGGATGCCCTGAAAATTACATGAAAATTAACTTTACAGTCAGTACAAAATAATTAATCAATTTAAAACTCCTCTACCCTTAAAAGAAAAAAATTAGATTTTCAGGTTTTCAGGGGATCTTAGCTGTCAATTAAGGGATCCAAGACCCCCCTTATTTTGGACACTGGCTGCATGGTTGTATTCTTTCAAATCAGCCCCTCTGGCCACTAAAACAGCTCATTGGCGTTCAAAGGTGCTCATCTGCTTCTTGGAGGGTAGTGACAAATCGTGATGTTCACATTACTGCTCTATATCAGAGGCAGTGACATGGAAAATAGGATGACTGGTGTTATCTTTAATCAACAATGTAACTGATATTGCCACACTGGCGATGCCTTTCTGTGTTTCCAGGGTGTTATGGTGTGGACGGTGAAAGTGACTCGATCATGAGCTCAGCCTCGGAGAATTCGACAGAGCCTTGGTTCTGTGATGCCTGTAAGAATGGAGTGACTCCCAGCTGTGAGCTCTGCCCCAACCAGGATGGCATCTTCAAAGAGACCGACGCTGGGAGGTGGGATACAGTAGCACTCTGACCCAGTGGTCAGTTGATATTTACGAGGGCAGCGAGTGGAACATGTTCAGAAACAAATATCACCTAATAACCTTAGCTGGTCGAAATTCTGCTGGCAGCCAAAGGCTATCTAAATTGTGCATATATTCAGTGCTGGGGAGAAAAGGAAGTTGGAGAGAGAGAGAGAGAACTAGCAGAGGAATGAGAGAGGGGGATGGAGGGAAGAGAAGAGATAGAGGAAGAAAAGGAGTGAGAGAAAAGAGTGTGTTATGTGAAGCGTGGAGACTTCAGCCACGTTATCGCTGATAGTGCTCCTCAGCCAGGCTGCACCCGAATTTACTACTTCACTAGAGCATGAAAAACACAGCAAATTAAACTGTGAAGCGGTTGCTTGCCAGAGATGGATATCTTTATATTGGACTTCGGATTCTCTTCCTTAAAGTCCGCATTTGAAATTGTGTCACAGCAAACTGTAGTCAAGAGTCTGGGGCTACATAAATCTATGAATCCATTTCTTTTTGAAGTGTCTGAGCAAGTCACTGCAGCCAATTTCATGATATTTAGTTTCTTTTGTTTGCAGTAATTCACTACACTGAATGCAAACGTAACCATAGTCGTCGATTTTGATCAATTTAGTGACGTTTCTTGAAATCAGCATGCAGAAGTCAATACATTTTAAATGTCACCTTTTAAAAACTACTTTTAATCTTGAAACATTTTCAGGTCATGATTTTCATACTAATGTGTTGTAGTTTGTGCTGTTCCTCTTCAACAAACCGGTTTATCAGCCAATTAGATTTTCTCCATCTTCATTTTCAGATGGGTGCATGTGGTTTGTGCACTTTATGTTCCTGGAGTAGCATTTGGAGACATCGATAAACTACGACCAGTGACGCTCACAGAAATGAATTATTCAAAATACGGGGCCAAGGCAAGTACTCTTTTCACATACTGATGCAGTTTAGTGATGCATAGCTTTAGTAAGGTTTTATTGTCATGCTTAACATCCTGCAGGAGCCAGTTTTAGATTTGCTTTTTGATTACTGTATCCTGACTTTATATCCAAGTACACTCACCGAACACTTTATTAGGAGCATCTAACAAACACTGGGTAGTTGCTCCCTTTGTTCTCAAAATTTCTTCGTGGCATGGATTCCACTAGATGTTGGGAACTTTCCTTTGAAATGATGCATCACATCATTTCTTCAGATTTTTCAGCTGCACATTCATGCTGCCAATCTCCTGTTCCACACATAATAATAATAATAATAATAACAGTTGATGATAAATAAACAATAATAATTAGATTAGTCCACTTCCTTTGGCTGAGGTGTTGTATAGCCTGATGGCAGCAGGAACAGAGGATCTCCTGAACCTCTCTGTTCTGCAGCACAGTGAGGTGAGACGTTTGCTGCACCTGTGGCTGCTTCTGTCCTGCCAGAATGTTGTGGAGAAGATGGTTGGTATTGTTCAAGATGGCCTCCATCTTACATTGCATGCGTCTCTCCACAACAGTCCTGAGTGAGTCCACACTCCTGCCAAGCACACACCCAGCCTTTTTGACCAGCTTGTCCAGTCTCTTTGTGTTTGTGTTTGACATGCTGCTGCCACTGATAAAACTGCTGGATTCAGGTCTGGAGATGGGGGGGGGGGGTGAACTTAAGTTCACTGAACTCACTGTGTGAACTCACAATGTCACAAACTGAAGCCAGTTTGTGACATTGAGCATGATCCTGCTGGAAGGAGCCATTAGAAGATGGTGAACTGTGGTCATGAAGGAAGAACATGGATGAACAATACTCAGATAGACTGAGACATTCAGACCATGATTAATTGGTATTAAGAAGAAAAACATTCCCCTCACCATCACACCACCACCACCAGCCTGGACTGTTGACACCAGGCAGGTTGGTCCATAGATTCAAACTCTGACTCTACCATCTGTCCAACTGTCCAGTGTTGGTGAGTCTGTGTCCACTGCAGCCTCAGGTTTCTGGTCTTGGTGACAGGAAGTGGAACCTGATGTCGTCTCTGCTGTTGAAGGTTGGACATGGTGTTCACTCCGAAGCTTCTCTGCTCAGCACAGTTGTAAAGAGTGACCGTAGCCTTTCTGTCAGCACCAACCAGTCTGTCCATTCTCCTCTGACCTCTGACCTCTCTCATCAACACAGAGCTGGACGCTTTTGTTGTTGCTCCATTCTGAGTTAAAACTCTACAGACTGTTAAGTGTGAAAATCCAGGAGAGTTTATGCTGCCACATGATTGGCTGATTGGATAATTGCATGAATAAGCAGGTATATAGGTGTTCCTAATAAAGTGTTTGATTAATCCATATTGTTCATGTTTTGACATTATTCCTGCTTAAATTATTGTCCTCTAGATTTAGAAAATGCAAAATTTTCTGAAGGAAACTTGGGAAGCTTATTTGTTTACACTGTTTCAGTGTTTGTTGTGAAAGCAGTTCAAATATGAGTGTAAGTGAAATTATTGACAGCACATGACAGTGACATAGTTGAATAGAGGCCTGTTTAAAATGCTGCATGAGCCCTATCATTGACACTTTTTGGCCTTTTCAGCTGCTGAACACCATGCCACTGTGCTGTAGTTTGTTTGGACATGAATGTCAGTAAAAAACCTTGAAGTCAAGCTCCAAGACAGAGATAGAACGTTTCAACATTTCATCCACCCTGTTTTCATACTTAAACATTGTCGTCAGTGGCTCTTAAGAGAAAATGCATTGTTTTAGAGTAGATATGTGACTTAACCACTGGGAGAAACTATGGCACATACGTGTATAAGAAAGCAACCTTACTGCAGCTACAGCTTGAAGTCTCAGTGTTGTATTCTGTTACACATAGGAGTGCAGTTTCTGTGAAGATACCCGTTTTGCCAGGACTGGTGTGTGCATCAGCTGCGATGCGGGCATGTGTCGGTCCTATTTCCATGTTACCTGTGCACAGAGGGAGGGACTCCTGTCTGAGGCTGCAGCGGAGGAGGTAAGGGGAGCAAACAATGGCATATTGTCACTTAACTTTCAAAGGGGTGAATAAAATTCAATATTAGGTGCTATGCTGCTAGCCATCTGTCTAAATGACAAGCTCAAGTGATGCAATGTTAAAAGAGTTGAGATTTTATTATGCAGACACAGAACACAAAAGACAGGCCCTGTGTTTGTGCCACACCTCATCTATATTCTAGTCACATGACATGTTGAAGCTGAAGTACTTCAAGTACCACTTAAAATTGTTTGTGGGGCTTTTTAGCAAAACTTCTGTCACACCCACTTACAAGTGTTATTATTGATAGATTTACACATTGAAACCAGGCCTGGCCCCTTGCTGTCTAGCTTCTAGCCTGTTAGCTAAAGGCAGCATGATGCAAACAGTCACCACTGTGTCCGCACCTGTACTGACTGTTGAAGCAGAACAAATGTGATGTTTCTTTTTGAGGATGGATAAAACTTGATCAGAAGGACTGAAGTTTAAGTTTGAGCTAACTGCAAGCTAACCATCCAGGAACATGCAAGCGCAAGTAAACCATAATAGAACAAGCATAGTCAAACTGTTGATAACTTCCACTGCAGCAAGCTAAGCTGCAATTATTCTAGGAAGCAAACAGCTGGAAAAACTGCTTCTGCTGTCGTCATATTTCTTCCTGTGACAGAGTGATAAATGGAGGCAAAAAATAAAAGCTGTAAAAGATAATGCCCCTGTTTTGACTAAATATATATAACTGCTACACTCATGTATATCATTTTTGTTTCTTTAGGATATAGCAGATCCTTTTTTTGCGTACTGCAAACAGCATGCAGACCGGTTTGACAGGAAGTGGAAAAGAAAGAATTATCTGGCCTTACAGTCTTACTGTAAGGTCTCCCTGCAGGAGCGAGAGAAACAGCTTACTCCTGAAGCTCAGGTAAGGTTCATTAATTTACATCAGCTGCAGCAGCCAAACCTCAACTTTCCAAATGTGCATGTGTGTTTGTACCTCAATCCATACGCCCTAAGTCTGGGCAGTTTGCTACTGTGTACTTCTTAAGTAGTGGAGATGAGGCCTAGGTTTGGGTTTGCAATTAGGATTAGGTTTAGGGTATATTATTTGCAATGTTTTAAGTTTCACTTTAAGTCCCACTGTTTATGAAACACCCACTGGGGTGTCCCACTGTTTATGTTTTTTCATGTAGGAATTTTGTGAGCTCATATGGTTTTGATTCTGAGGGGGACTTGATTTAAGTATAGAGCATAAAAGGGTGACTATAACAGGCACATATTATTACATGCTCAGACATACTACCAGACAGGTAACTTGGAGTTGGAAGTTTGTTTTGGTTTCTGATGTGTTGTAAGTCAGCATTCCTAATGTGTTCTGAGGGAACTGCTGGTCCTGCTGGATTGTTTGCTCTGAAACTTCAGGGGACCTTCCCTTACATTCACATAAGCACAGACTGAGCACCATCTCAATTTCAACAGTCAGACGGTCTGGTGAGAGGAACTCTTCAAGCAGAACCCCAAACACTGTGTCTAGTGAACAAGGCACTGCTCATCACCTGGCTAATAACATTCCTACGGTGATGCATGGTGGTGGCAGTATCATGCTATGGGGTTGCTTCTCATCAGCAGGGATGAGGAGACTGGTCAGAATTGATGGAAGGATGAGTGCAGCCAAACACAGAGAGCTCCTTGGAGAGAACCTGCTCCAGAGTATAATTAAGTCCAATCAAGTTTTAGATACATCTCAAGAATAATTAATGGTCCCGCTGTAGAAAGTGAGATTTCTGCATCTTTTTTAAGTTAAAGAGCAGGTCTATGTACAAATTATATACAGATGGTGATAAAGGAAAAACCTGAAAACTGAGAAACAGCATGACAATCCTTCCATCCACAGGGCAAGAGGGGCCACAGAAGGGTTTGATCAATATGAAAATTATGTGAATCATGTGCTATGGCCTTTGCAGTCACCAAATCTCAACCAAACTGAGCACCTATGGAAGACTTTGGACTGACATGTTAGACAGCGCTCTCCACCACCACCACCACATCACCAAATGAGGGAATATCATTAGGAAGAATTGTGTTCATCAATAAAGCTTCAGTGCAGTAGATTGCAGAGATCTTGGTGTAAGTACTACATCTATTGAAGAAGTGAAGGTGATCAGGTGAAGAAGCACTCCAAATGTGCATAGTAAGTGTTAGACATGTTAGGGTGTTAGAGGTGTCAGAACAGGAGGTGCTCTCTTAAGAGATGAGTCTTCAACAGATTCTTGAAGATAGAGAGGGACGACCATGCTCTGACAGACTTTGGTAGCTTTGTCCACCGTCAGGGAACTACAGACCAGAAGAGTATGGATTGAGACTTGAGTCTTGTGTTCAGGGATGGTGATGCTAGACCACATTCCTAGGAGGAACACAGTGGCTGAGAAGGAGAAGAAAGGCTGAATGACTGAGTTCAAATAGATGGAGCAGAACCAGAAGTTACTCTGAATGCAGCATTAGTGACTTGGATTTGATTGAGGCGACCATGGGTAGACAGTGTAGGTCAATGAGTAGCGGAGTTACATGCCTTTTTGGGCTGATCCAAGACCAGTTGCCGTATTTTGGACCATCTGTAAGGGTTTCACTGTCAGAGTGTCAAGTCAAGGCTGTCAGAAGGGCATTAAAGTTGTCGAGGCGAGAGATAACAATGGTCTGGACCAAGAGCTGAGTGGAGTACTGAGTCAAGTAAGGCCTGATTTTACTCATTTTGTATAGAGCAAAGTAGCATGACAGAGAGACGGATGCAACATGAGAAGGAGAGCCGGTCATCACACATGACACCCCTGTTTTCCATGACCTTGGTTGGGATAAGAGATTAAGAGGTGATTTTTATATTGTGATGAAAAGACTGATTAGCTGGGATGAGTAGAGTTCAGTCTTAGAGAGGTTTAGTTGAAGGTGGTGTTCCTTCATCCATGTGGATATATCAGAGAGACAGGCCGAGATCCACGCAGCGGCAGTTGGATCATCTGGGGCGGGGGGCAGGTATAGTTGGGTGTCGTCTGCATAGCAATGATATGAGAAGCCATGTGAGTGGATAATTTGACTCAAGGAGGTGGTGTATATTGCAAAGAGGAGGGGTCCCAGTACCGACTCTTGTGGCACTCCAATGAGGAGGGGATGGGATAGGGACATTTGTCCTTGCCATGACACACTGAAGGACTGCCCTGTGAGATAGGATTCAACAGAGTACAGACGGCAAGATGCTTCACTGTATTAAAGGCTGCTGAGAGGTCCAGCAAGATAAGAACTGAGGACTGAACTGCAGCTCTGGCTGCTGTTAGAGTTTATGTCACAGACAACAGGGCTGTTTCGCTGGAGTGGCCGCTCTTAAAGCCCAACTGATCTGGATCAAGGAGGTTGTTCCATGATAGAAATTCTGAGACCTGCTTAAAAGCTGATCCGTGTATACACCTAGATAATAATGGAAATAGTGACATGGGCCGACAGTTCTCCACATAAACAGGTGAGGGCTTTTTGATCAGAGGAGTTACATGAGTCGGTTTGAATGCAGTTGGAAATGTTCCCGAAGCCAGTGAAGTATTTATCACATGTGACTGCAGGTGCAATGGTGGGAGATATGGCTTTGAAGAGGTTTGTGGGAATGGGGTCCAGTGCCAGGTAGTAGAAAGTCTACTGGCAGAAACTGTGCCTTAAAATTAGCTATCATGACTTCTGTAATTTTCTGATGTCACAACTTTACAGTCATTGCCCTCAGTTATGCCCTTAGCACTGCCTATTGGGACCCACAGTTACACTTGGACTAAAAAAGCAGCTGTTATTATGGTTGTGTGTGTGGACTGTGAACTTGCTTACTTACAGTTGAGCGATGATATCCAGTGCCTGGAGACAGAGCTCCAAAAAAAGGATAAGCTGCTTGACGGCTTTGTCTCTGTAGCTGCTGCCCAGACAAAGCATATTTCCATTATAATTTCTCCCCGATATGCCACTGTCACACCGCTGCTGGTAGATGTTCATTCCATGCATTTCCCTTAACATGGCCACCAGTCTATTGTCTGCAGTCCCATTCAAAACTCCACATGCTATGGCGTGACAGAAGGATAGACTGCTTCTTCTCCTTCCCCTAGTAATCCACTCGCCATTTTCCACTCTTGCTGTCCCAGCTTGCCCATTCACCCACCTCCCCAATGTCCCCAATGTTCTACGATTTTGCAGCCATGCACACTACCCTGGCTGGCCTTGATGCACGCTGGCACTGTACTGGTTCACCTGGAGGGTCTAGCAGCTGAGGAGAGTGAGCTGGAGGCGTGGTAGCAGGGTCTGCCACAGTCACCCTGACATGGCCAGATTGCACTGGAACCACGCCCAAGACTCTGATGTATAGCTCCACACCAAATCCAGACGGAGCATTTTACTCTGATTTTGACTGTCCGTTTTCAGCACTGACTGAACAATCGCTATTTGCATTTACCTTTTAGTTTTACCAAGTTACAGGAGCAGGTTATAATCTGTTACCTGTGGCTGGCTTGGCTGTGCATCACCCAGAAATAAGTCAGCCAATCAGAGGAGGGGCTCTGAGCCTCTCTTCTGATTAAAATAGAAATTAAAAATAAATAAGAATTAATTTAAATTAAATCTACAACACAATAAAGTGTGTAAAAAGTAAAAGTGTCTGAATACTTTTTATACTTTTTACATTACACACCTTCAACAAGACAGCATGGTGGCTTGACCTTGTGGAAAAAAATAGCACAGTTTTCCTGTAACCAGATTATGGGCTCAAAAGGCCAGAAAGGCAGTGAGCCAAGTGATCGCTGGTCAGCAGCTTCACTGTGAGCTAGGAGTGTAACGGTATGCGTTTTTGTCCCGAACCGTCATGGTAGGGACATCATGGTTTGGTGCATCCAGTCATACGAAGAATACGTCTGAGTGGAAAAAAAGTCAGTCACACATGGCAGCATCCACACTCTTACCCAAGTGGCGGTAATGCCCAGTTAGCCAGCTGCCTTTAAACAAAAACCGGAAGAAGAAGAAAATGCAACAAAACAGAAGAAGAAGAGTAACTATGTCTATTGACATGAATTTCCCTTAGGTGATAAATAAAGTCCATCCAGTTCAGATGACACAGAAGAACTAGAAGACCCACCTGCTTCTGTTCAATGAGCCATGTGGGAAAACTTTCGGGTTCCCTGTGGACTATAACAGTGATGGCGTGCGAGTGGTGGATTGGACGAGCACAGTGTGTTGGTGTTGTTCCACAGCTATGCTTAATGTCAGTGGAAACACGTCAAACATGCTAATGCATATTAGACGGCATCACCCAGATGTGCCAATCACTGGAGCTAGGCAAAAGAAAACAGGAGTCCAACAACTTATCCGTACTGTTTTAAGAAGCCTCCAGATTTGAAAGCAGACAGGGCCAAAGGCATTACCGAAGCTATGGCATATATATTTAAACCATATGCAGTAGTATATTAAATTGAAAGTTCTCAAGCGTTGTTACAATGTCCCATCCCGTGTGCACATAAGCCACTCCATGGTCAGTGCCATTTATAGGCATGCCTGAGCGGTGATTGAGCATGAGTTTTATATGTGTGTGTGTTTTATATGTGTGTGTGTGTGTGTGTGTGTGTGTGTGTGTGTATATTTAAAATACAACTTGCACAAGTTGTATTTTTTATTACTCTACGTATAAATTTTTTACTTTTATAACAACAGATGCTTTTCAGTTTTGTAGCTGATTGTGACCTGTTGCCTTTTGTTTTTTATCAGCACTACATAAAAATATGACTTATGTGAGTATGTTTTGATCACTGTTTAATATACTATAGGCTGTGCCAACTACCTCAGGTAGTTCTAAACGACACTAGGTGGAACAAACCGTAGCTTACTACCATACTGTCTGTTCAAAATAAATGAGAAGAAACCTAGAATTATGCATTTGGGAGTTGTTGTTTTTTTTTCCCGTTGCACCGAATTCATACTGAACCGTGACCCCAAAACCGAAGCACGTACCTAACCGTGACTTCTGTATGACCCCTAGTGTGAGCACACACTGTAGGTTAGTGATAGACTTGGAAATGGTTTCCTGCTTATCTCTGCATGTTTGAATTTCCTGTTCTCATTTTCTGTTTTTTGCTTTGAGAGCTTGGAGAACAGCATCTTGCTGCTAGCATTACACACCAGACTAATGGTGACAACTTGTTTTCATGGTAATGACAGTATGCTTTTTGTGATTGGAGTGGACGCGCACATACACACATAGAGTGCTAAGGGGCAGATACACATACGCACAAGCAGATTACCACCACGTCACGCTGTTCACTTGCACACATTAACAAGTATGTGGGCATGTTCAAACCTCAGTCACTACATATTGTCATGAGTGACACAATGTGGTCCGCACTCTAGACTTAATTACATACGACTCTCCACATTCTGCAGTAGTTTTCATTGTTTCTACCAAAACCATATGAGAGGTATTTTGTTGACATGAATTCAGCCTTCAAGATGACACTTGTCTGTGGACAGCCTGAATATGACTATGAGTCCATAAAATGTGAGTGACAGTACACTTACGTCACTCACCATGGGCAAGAATAATCTTGAGGAAATGTCACAATTGAGACTGACAGGTGTGGAAACTGTTCCAGCAACACAAAATACTGTATTAAGCAATATGCGTAGGTATGACTGAGAGCATGTTGAACATTTTGAACTCTCCCCCCAAAAAGTAAAAATGTATCACAACCAATTTTGGTCAGGACGCATACTTTTAAAACACAATTTTAGACAGTAATGTATTTCCAGATTTGTGGCAACACTGTGGCAACACTGATGGTTTAAAATGTGGGAGTATGTCTATGAACATTTGTGTGTGTGTGTGTGTCTGTGTCCCTCCTGCAGGCCCGTATCACGACCCGCCTACAGCAGTACAGGGCAAAAGCAGAGTTGTCCAGGAACACCCGGCCTCAGGCTTGGGTGCCCCGGGAAAAGCTGCCACGACCTCTGACTTCCAGTGCCTCAGCCATCAGGAAGCTGATGAGGAAGGCGGAGCTGATGGGCATCAGCACCGACATTTTCCCCGTGGACACATCTGACGCCAACGCCAGCATGGACGGACGCAGGAAGCACAAGCAGCCGGCCCTCACAGCAGACTTTGTCAATTACTACCTGGGTGAGGAACCTATTCCCACAGCTCCAGTGACTGCAGTTGTTGTTTATTTTCCTCTCATTTTCTTGCCAATCTTGTTTTACCTCTTATTCCTGTGTAACGTGGGTAGAGCTGCCTCTGAAACAAGAAAAAACACTTTTCCTCTTTTGAAACCTTTGCTTGCAGTGAGTGAGAATCATAATTGATGCTTTAGATGTCTATAAATAAACAAGAAAGCATTAAGAGCAGAAACCTACAGAGCATTTGTAGAGAAAAATATTGGCATTGAAATTGGCATTCAGAATAAAATTTGTTACAAAACAGTTATTACAACTTTTTTAAAATCCAAGCATTATTTAAGTAATTTAATGCAGCATTTATAATGCATTCAGAAAGATTTTTCCCTTGGCCCAGATCAAATTAACTAAACTACAGGTGTATGAACACACCTGTCCATCATGAGTCCAACAGTTTTACATGAGTGCAATACTAATCAGTGGAATACTCCTTTCAACAGACCGAAAACAAGTCAAGTCACAGCATGTTAGCCACTATACAATTCCTCTTCCATTGTTAAAGCACAAGTTATACTTTATCCTCACGTGAATAATCCATTAGCAACCAAATAACTCTTCAGAGTCTCTCTACTGATGGTCACTCTGTTATGTGCATGATACAGGAGTGGTTATGTGTTAGTTATAGTTTTCTACTTTTCTGACACTATGAATTCATGCTTCTAGTGGGTATAGGAGGTGAATGAAAAACACACTGGTTTCTTGCAATGTTGTCGAGGCACCCCACCCTGCCTGAAATAAAAGGTACATCCGTTAATTTCATAGGAAATTATTTAATGAGATGTATGTTTTTCCCCCTTTCCATCTTCCTCTATTCTCCTTCAGAGAAACAGGTCTGAGCTGAAAATGTGATGCATATATGTACATTTGCTGAGAGCCACTCATACGGCTGTCTTCTGTGCCATGCACTTATTTTACTGATGCATTCAAAGCATCAATAAAAAATGTTTCTATAATATACAGTTAGTTTCTTTCTCTCTATTTATTAGATCCAAAGCACAGAAATTATGCCTGGTATCATGCAATTTTATTGAAGATATACTGTGTGGCATTAACTGTTGTACAGGGTGGCTAAGTTATTGTGAATGTGTGTGAATTCTTCTCCCCAAAAATGATGATGGTGCCAGATGTGGAGGAGAGGCCATGGTAGTAACCTTGAGAGCATACAACGTTAGCCTGCAGCAGAGGGCCTATCTGTCATCAGTACACTCTCTCATGGGCTTTTTCCTGTATAGAGATTGTGATCGTACCATTGATTTTTGTCCCATTGATATTCAGAGCGGAACATGCGAATGATCCAGATCCAGGACAACATCTCTGAACAGAAGAGCTTAAAAGACAAGCTGGAGAATGAGCAAGAAAAACTGCATGTGGAGTACAACAAGGTGAGTAGCACAATCCAAACCTGCAGGAATCTGGGTTTTCTCTGGGGATGGGCTGGTGTGTGAAATGTGCAATGTGCTTTAAGATATATTAGACAGGTTCTTGCTTATTTGAAAGTTTAAATGAACAGTGTTACTTTTACAGTGTTAATATTATGATAAATAAGATTATGACTAGGAAGTCATTCAACCACACATAATTAAACATATGAACAAATAATCATCACCTGGTGTAGCTGTGAGAAAGTAGACTACAGCCACCAGTGTCTTTCAAAACAAAAGTGTTGTACTGCTTATTTAAGGTTCAGACTATAATATTTAAATTATTATGTGCCTGCAATGCAATAGCATTGAAGGCATGTATTATTATTAGTTATATTTTATTATATTATTTTATTATTAGTTATATTATTATTAGTTATTAGAATGCTGAGGCATTCACACTGTTGTTCTTCAAATCTTTATATTTAGTGTGAATGCTACTTATTCCACCTTTCCGCGGTTTCCAACTACTCCTTCATATTTTCTCGTACAGAAACCATTCAACTATCAAAACATTCAGCTTGTTCTGTAGATTATCAGATGTATACAACTTTATTGTACTATTAATAATTTTCAAAATATTAATCTTTTCCTGAAATTATTTTGCCTTTCAAATTACACACAAATGGACATATTGAAAGGTAGACAGGTAGACAGACATAGTTTCACTCACGAAACATTTGGCTGTTAATTTCAGTTTGAAATCTAACTGACTCCACATTACATATATTCTTATTAGTTGATTACTTTTGGAGCTCATTCTGAGCCCTGACACACACACACACACACACACACACACACACACAGAAACACACACAGACAGAAAGCTGTTTACAAATTAGTAGTAATAGGGGGAGATACCAGTTCAGACTGGACAGACCAACAGGTGATACAGCAGCAGACATATTGAATTTAACCTGCTCCACTGGTGCTATACTCCAGATCCTCCTTTTACTTTCCTTCGGTTGTTAACTACTCCTGCATTCTATGTGCTATATAAACCGCTCAACTATCAAAATGTTCAGCTTCTTCAGGAGTTGTATCCTTTCCTTCAACTTTTTGATACTAACGATGTTCAACTCCTTAAAAACATTAATGTCTTTGAAAGACTTACAGACTTCACTCAAACTTTAAACTGTTCTCAAGACTTTCAGCTATTAAGTGATTATTCAGCTTATTGATATAATAAATTAAAATTTCTACTGTTTAGGATGCAGTCCATCTATCATTTACTAATACAAATGATTACTTCTTCATTTTTATGGCATTTTATTACTACTTCCACCTTTGGCATTTTATAATTTGACTTTCAACAGCATGTTTCAATTTTCAACTTTTGCAGCTAATGGTTTTCTGCTCCTCCAGTTCATAATTTTGGCATCTAATTTTCAAAGCACAGCACATAAATGTGAGCTGCCTTCATCAGCAATTCAGGTGTTTTTCAACCATATCATCCCATTCAACCTCTAGCTTACAAGTTCTGCTTTTAATCTTCAGCAATTGCTTGAGTTACTTCAGTATTGCTTCATCAATCTCATTCAGCTCTCAGCATTCACACGCATTTTCAACAGGAAATGCATTTTTTAGTTATTATTGCTGCAGCATTCACACTATTGTTATTCATCTTTATTGTGTTCCATACAGAAACACACATAAATACAGACAAGCAGAGAGGTACACAGACAGATAGATAGACACACACACACACACACACACACGCACACACATGAACCCGAGACACACAAACACAAAAAACGGACACATAGACAGGTTGACAGGTACACAGACAGAGAGGCAGATAGATTACATACAGTATATTCCAATTGGTGGATTACCTTTGGAGCTCATTATGATTGGTGAATTGCCTTACTACCCAATGTTTCCCAGGTGCTACCTTTTTCAGGTATAAAGAAAGGTAGGCAGCCAGACAGATGGACAGCATTGTCACTTTACTGACATTTCTGCAATTATTTACACACATCTCAACTGTTTTCACTGGAAAAATGTTTCAATCCAGTTGTAATCATGAAGCATCCGGCAGTTAATTTCAGTTTGTCATTCTAACTGACACAGAAACACACATAAATACAGACAGAGAGGAGAGAGGCACACAGATAGATAGAAAGGTACACAAAAACAGACACACACAGACTCATGCAAGCAAACAGATACAGACACACACACACATTCACACACACGAACCAGAGACACAGACACATGTATACAAACACACACACACACACACACACACACAGAAAACTGTTTACAAGTTAGTACTCATAGAGGGAGACAAAATGACAACAGTTGCAGTTGCAACAATGCTGTTTGTTACACGTTACATCAACTATTCAGGCCTTTTTCAACCATTTCAGGACGTTCAACCTCCAGCTTTCAAGTTCTGCTTTTAATCTTCAGCTACTTCAGCTATTACTTCAGCTACTTCAGCATTGCTTCAGCAGTTGCTTCAGCTTCTTCAGCAGTTGTTTCAGCTACTTCTGCAATGCTTTAGCTACTTCAGCATTGCTTTAGCAATCTCATTCAACTCTCAGCATTCATTGCATTTTCATTATTATTCTTATACTTCTTTTTACGGTCTCTCACTACTTCTTCAATCTTTGTTCTACAGAAACCGTTCAACTATCAAAACCTTCAGCTTTTTCTGTACATTATTGGATGTATTCAGATTTTTTATATTATGTATAATTTTTGAAATGTTTAGCTTTTTATAATTTTTTTTTTGTTATTCAAATGAATGGAGACCATGTTCAAATCCTTGAAATCTTCAGCCTCTTTAAACATTAACTACTTCAGCATATTTTCAGCTACAGACTTCATTCAGCGTTTAAAATGAAGAGAAGACTTTCAGCTATTAAACTTGTATTCAACTTTTTGATATCTTCAACAGTTTTCGAATGATCACAGTTTTAGTTTCATGCTATTTTCAGATAATTTCTGAGTTTATAATGGGTGTGTATTGCATGGAATTTTCAGGGCTAGAGTGGATGACATCATTCTTAGTGGGAAAAGCTCTAAAATTTGTCTAACTCGTGTAACTCGTCCTTCCAGCCACATATTTCAGTCTTCACAAATAATTTCTTCCTCATTAGTAGACACATTTGCCCTGTTTCATAAAAAGTTTCTACCTCGGTACAGAAACTAATAGAATTTGAAACGTGACCCTCCAAGTGATGCGAGCACTCCTCAAACTCTCCCATAGACTGCAATACAAATTCAGGAGTTGATTTCAGGAGAAAACCCTAACTGACCCTTCTTCGCAACTCGCTCCTATTTCCACATTTTTGGCTCTAGAAACACCAAAACCACATAGAGGTGTTTAGGAGAGTCTTGAGGTGCTGACCATGTGATAATTTTGCAGATGTTATTTACCATTTTGTATTAAATGGCAGGAGTTTGAGAGGTTTGCTGACCCCTGTCTCCCATATATTTGTATGAGCTCTGTGTCTTCAACAGCCAGACTCTCTCTCTTACACATGCACACACACAAACCGGAGACACACACACAAACGGACACAGAAAGGTAGACAGACAGACAGGTTGATAGACAGTTTCATTCAGGAAACATTTGGCTGTTGATTTGAGTTTGAAATCTAGCTGACTCCACATAACATATATTCTAATTGGTGGATTACTTTTGGAGCTCATTGTGATTGGTTGAATACCTTTGGAGCTCATTCTGAGCCCTGACGATTGCGATGTTCCTCTAGGCAGTCCACTCCAGTTTGATAACCATAGAGGTTTTACGAAACGTTTGCTGCGGTAAAAGAGAGAGAGAGAGCCTAGATAAACTCTGAAATAATGAAGCCGAATGAAACACACACATGCATATTACATAAGGAACATGAGTGAGTGAATGAGAGGATTTGTGTTGAGTGTGTGTGTTAAATGTCAGTCTGCTGTTCTGTAGACTTGAATTTGTTTCCCATTCATACTATTGACTAAAGTTAGTTCAATCACTTTTTTAAGATCTATTAGCGATGTCTGTATATGTCTTTTTGTCTATGTGTGCATGGCGTGTGACTGAAAAACACCACAAATGCAACTTTTTTTAAAGGTTGCAGTCAGGAGCTCTACAATAATGAATTAAGACAACGCAATCTGTAACAATAGGTCTCTGAATTCTAGTGGAGTGGGAAATATAAAGTAGCACGATATGGAAATACTGAAGTGAAGTAAGAGTACCACAAAATAATTGTACTTCAGTATACAGTACTAGAGTAAATTAACTTTGTTGCTATATGGTCATAGGAATCAGTAAAAATGGGTCACATTTTCTGTATTGCATAAAAGCATAAAATAGTCTGCTACAAGGACCAGAATCCTTTGTGCCCTGACGATTATGATGTCCCTCTAGGCAGTCCATTCTAGTTGTGACCATAGGGTGTATATAAAACGTTTGCTACAGTAAAAGAGAGAGAGAGACAGAGAGAGAGCCCGGATAAACTCTGAAATAATGAAGCTCAATGAAACACACCACATGCTAATTACGTAAGGAACTATGACGAATGTTGATGTCAGGAGTTTTGTTGGGTGTGAGGGATAGACGACGGTGTTTTATTCAGTAGACTCGAGTTCGCCTCCCGTTCATACCATTGACGTAGTTAGTTCAATCACTGCTTTTAGGATCTGTTGGCAATGTCAAGGCACACAGACACACACACAGACAGGAAGCTGTTTACAAGTTTGTACTTATAGAGGGAGATGACCGTTCCATTGGTGTTATACTCGAGATCCTACTTTTACTTTCCTTCAGTTGTTAACTACTCCTGCATATTTTTTACAATGTAAGTGAATGGAGACGATGTTCAAATCCTTCAGACAGGCAGATAGACACAGTTTCATTCAGGAAACATTGGGCTGTTAATTTCAGTTTCTGTTCTAACAGACTCCACATTACATATATTCTAATTGGTGAATTACCTTTAGAGCTCTTTGTGATTGGT